ATCAATGTTATTACTTGAAAAAACTTGATGAACTCGCCGGTTTTTACCGGTCTGGAAATACTTTTAGACCGGCCGGTGACTGGCCGGACCGGACCGGTCTAGTATTTCCAGACCGGTTACAACTCTGCTTCAACGTTTCGATTTCGAATTCTTACCATAAGCTCGTAGGACAGTAAGTATTAGTCACTGAAAGCGCCATCGAAATCGGATGTAAAATAAAAACGTTTTTTTCTGGGGGGGGTCCCTTAAGAATTTTTATGAAACATCCTTCTGGTTTGGAAATTTTGCTTTTTAAAGATTTGACCCTCTTTAGACCCTGCTGTAATACTTGCACATACGTACTCAGCAAGAGCACTTGAAAAATTTGCCGGCTGCATCCCCCCTCATTTTTTTCATCGCCACATCCTTATATTTAATTGATATAGAACTCGAACTACGATCACTTTACTTAAAATGTTTCTATTGGACATCTGTATTATACCATATTTATACTAATATATATGTTGTAGAGAAAGTACAGAATTAGCGATTCTACATATTCCCTAATAAGTACTGAGAAAGTATAGAATGGGGTTTGAACCTGCTAATGAATGAATAGAATTTTCAAATACTATATTCTTGACTAGTTGTTTCCTCAGAAAAAGGATAAATCTTTTAAATATGGTCATTTCTCGCTCTTTTCACGACATTTTGCACTCAAGATGTAGTATTGAAGCGGTTCATCCATTTAGTGTATAGTGGCGACCGACAACTTCCACAAATCCATGGAAATTGCAGAATTAGTCTAACCGCGACTCACTCTCATGTTGCAGTGCCTCCTCTTCCTACTCACATCCTGGTAGAATTACAACTCGAGTTAGAAATTTGCAGAATTTTGCTGGAATTCTCCGAGATTCTGATTGAACCAGAGTTGCAATTCTACCAGTATATGAGTAGGGAGAGGGGCACTGCAGCGTAACAGTGCGTGGCGATCAGACTAACTCTGCACTTTTTACGGAATTGTGGAGGTTGTCGTCACTCGGCACTTAATGGATGAACACTGTATATTTAAAAGTACATCATGAGTGCAAAATATCGTGAAAAGAGCGAGAAATGACCATATTTAAAAGATTTATCCTTTTTCTGAGAAAACAGCCAGTCAAAAATATAGTATTTGAAAATTCTATTCATTCATTAGCAAGATTCAAACCTCATTCTATACTTTCTCAGTGCTTATTAGGAAATCTATCGCTAGATTCTACAGATTTGCTAATTCTGTACTTTCTCCACAACATATATACAGAAATCTCATGCCCGAAGGAAAAGGAAAAAATTTTGTTCAATTCTGATTGTTATGTCTTAATATTTCACATAGCTAACAATAGTTAGGAGCGAAACTTTGGAATTATTTCTAACTCGAGTACAACTAGATACTGTCAGAGTTCGGTCAAAATCTAAGTTGAAATCCTACATTTTTTGCCCAAGGTTAATCTAACTCCAAAAGTGGAGCTACAAGATAGCGTCAGATTATCATAGTACCAAAATCATCATCAAGTTCTAAACTGCGATATATCGTTCACACAGGTAACGAGATCGACTAGTTAAGAATGATCAGTATTTATACATGAATGCATTTTAAATTTGTTTCTACTTTACAAATCATTTTTTTTCTCGATGTCCGATTTTGATAAAACTGACCATGAAGTACAACATAAATGTATATAGATTAAAAACGCGCCCATTCGCTAATGTTTGACTGGCTGATAACTAATGAGATTGCTGAACTAAGTCACTGAAACTAGTTTAACAATTCGAGCGCATTCACACAATACAAAATTACGAGGACTGCAATGAAACGAGATTTAAATTTATCGTTTAAACAAGGCTTCAAGATAAGTTAGAAGTATATTGTTATAATTAAAGTAGTAGGTCAATAATTATGGAGCTTTACTTCTGAATAATAAATCTCAGAATGGTACAGAGATTAATAAACAAACAAACTCCTAGCTTAACAATCTAAAAAACCAAACAAATCTATTGGGTTGGATTTTAGATGTTTATTGTTATACCTATGTTCCACACTCATTCTGTGTTATTCACAAGTTTTAATAATAACAAATGAAACTAACTAATGCGTACTGAAACGACAACAGTGTTTAAACTTGTGGTATATTTTGTTTTTATGTGAACAAAAACAATTTATTCTCTGCTTATTCTTTTCTTCTTTGTAGATGAGATGTTTAAATTTATTCGAAAATATTTACCTGATTATGGTTTTGTAAGATACATTATAACACAATCAATTCCTGGAAAAGGATTACTTGGCTCATATCGTTTTATACCATTTTTTTTTCTTACTGGTGTTGCTTTTGAATTTTTATTGTACGGTTTAAAAATTAACAATATTAGCTTTTGTACGTATAAAGAGAAACAAAATTTATTCACTATCGTAATCACAAACATAAGTACTGGAATTCGTACTCTACATGAGTAATGTCACGACTTCTAACAAAAAGTATCCATAATTTAGTACATACAAAACTGTTTTCGTTCTTCATTACTGATGAAAAATTCAAATGACTAGTTAGTAGTCATGTTTAGTATCTATGATGAGTATTTTGAGAATTCATTACTCATATGAGTACTGCGAACTCGAAACTTTTCGTTACAATTCATCGGAGTTCTCTGCTGAAGCTTTTGAGTTGTTGAGAACTTCACTTATGAATACATTCACTAGGATAGGTCAAGCTGATTCTATTTCTTCTTTCATATATTCAACACAAAGAATTTAATTTTGTATTTGCTTAATTAACCTATATTTTTTTTCTTGTTTTTCTCGTTTAGACGATACATTTAAAAAACGTCGCGCAGAAGAGTTTGTACGCAAGAAACATCAATTAGACGACTATCTAACAAATTTACCACTAGGGGCTGTTACATTACAAACAGAAACTAAACAGAAATCATAAAAAGAATAGGTGAAGGTAACATTTTTTAGTGGATCATTTGGTTTTTATACATGTATCGTGCACGAGCAATTTATCATCTTTGTCTTAATGTTATTGCATTAGCAGTCGGTTCACAAATTACTCACATTATATTGAATCCGATGAAAGATTTTGCACATTATATTCAATTAGCTGAAATTGATTATCAAAAAAAACTGACACAGGATAAATTGAAGCAAGAAGAAGATAAGATAGTTCAAGAATATCTATTAGAAAAAAAAAATTTAAAACAACCAAGTTAATTTTTTTTTTAGATACTTTCTAGTCACATTTTAGAGCTCATGTTTTATAAACATAGCATCGAATGCAGTTTTTAGAAAGTTTAAGGTGATATTATCATTTGTAGGATAATTTTTTTCTTCTAACAATTATTTTGTGAATTTTGTTTTTTCACCTTTCTAATAAAATGATGAACAACATTGTTACGCAATCTTTTTGGCTAATATTGGGTTCCTAATTAGAAAATTTAACCTAAACTATTAGTTTATTACACGATTGTATCTGATGAGGTTCTACTGTTCTAATGTATCACTAGTATACCGTTATTCGCTCAAATTTTAGCGAAAACTGACATCGTTTAGAATCACAAAATGTATGAATAGAATAGTTTCAGTTTAAAATATCTATAAAGTATTGTTCCTTTTCTATCTTGTTGACAAAAACTGGTAAAATTTGTAGAAGAAAAAAATGTTGATATATCACGAATCATACTACTGATTGAATCAGTCAAACGAAGCACGTTTGACGTTATTCTCTGCTACAATACTCGGTATGAGCTGCAATTCTTCTTTCCTAATAGTATTTTTTGTCTTTGAGTGATAAAGCTAAAATCACTTTACGCGATTAAAATTAAGTTCGGTTCAATTTGTTGTTTTGAAAATAAATCTTAAACATGTTTTTTTCTTCTCTTTTACCTTCAGTTAAATATGACTTCCGAGAATTCGGAACAAACGGCATCTCCTTCGACTACTACAGCCGATTCTGATGATTATCAGTCTGTCTCATCCGAGTTGTCTCAATCTAATCAGCAATTATCGGTTCCCACCAATGTAACATCTTTAATTTCGAACAATAGTAATTCACAACCTCTTAATGACGAAAGTAAGTGAAAAGAAAATGATTTTTTTGTTCTATATATATATAGAGATAGCGTAGATGCTTGTTTTAGGTCAAGAAAATGTGGTTAACAATGAACAAAATATTGATTTAGAAGAACGACATAGGCAACGATTTCCTGAAATACCACCTCTAGGATTTCGCTCTTCAAATGGTGTTGAATTTGATGTTTTTATTCCTTTTCATCAACTTAATCAAAATGAAGAACAAACGTCAAATGAACGACAAGAAAATCCTCATGATATTGCTATGCATATGTATAATGACAATGATAATAACAATAACGATGATGAACATGAAGAATATTTTCATCGACTACCCGAACAAATACAATATATTCAAAATCTATTAATTGATCAAGAAAATCAACAAGAAGCAGATGATCAATTTGCAAATGAAGAAGATAATGAACATGATGGAATGTTTTTCGGTACATTATTCCTGATATAATATATATTTTTTATTAGATATCGATGACTTTGTATTCGTGAACTATGCATATTTCACTATCAGAATTTTGTTTAACTTTCTTTAATTTTAGATCAGGCTGATTTACATGATAATGAAGTGGAAAGAAACAGTGACGCTACCGATGACGATAATGGCGAATCTGATGAAGAGACAATGTCTCAAAATCCACTTGATGATATTAAACAGATGACTTATGATCGCGTTTTGCCTACTGCTCATTCTTATTTAGGCAATGAATTTCAAGAATTTAGTGGCATGCAATTATTAGATGAACATTCGAATAGAATCATACTACCCATTATTTTCTTACCCAATATGGTTTTAATTCCAAATCAAATTGTTCCATGGCAAGTGTTTAGTCAAAAAAATATTCGTTTGATTAAATGTGCCAAAGATGAAAATCGTTTATTTGGTGTTGTTGATGCATGTTCAAAAAGATCACCAGAATCAAATAGAGATCAATATGGAACAACAGCTGAAATTGTATCTTATTATGAAGAGTCTCATTCAGAATCAAATATAACCACATTACAATTAAAAATAATTGGACGACAACGTTTTATTATACAAAATCCTGATCAACATATTAAACGTGATTTGTATGGTATTGAACATGCACAAGTAAAAATATTACCAGAAATTAATTTAGATCGACCCTATTTAATGACATTTAAAAGTATATGTAAAACATATTTTCATATCATGAATTATTGTCGAAATTATGATATAACAATTCAAAATCAAAAATTTAATGAACAACGAGAAGAACATAAACAAGATGAGAAAGAAGAGATTACAACGAGCACATGTGGACAATTTGTTCAACAAGCCATGCATCTACTAACAAAACGTCGACGAACATCTTCTTCAACCTCTACATCAACTTCATCCAACGTTAATAATAATCATGCAATTAGTTCAGTAGAAGTAGATACAGATCCAACAGGTAAAATCTCACATATTTTTTACAAAAAAGACATCTATATCTGTATTTTTATTATAGTATCGGATCCAAAACGATGTTTAAAACGTCCTTGTTCACTTTCACCACAAGAACAACGTGCTAAATTATACAAATTTCGTACTCGTTATGGTCTATGTTCAATGACTCCTTATCCTTATTGGATTTATCGTCAATACGATCCTTATTATATTATGTCTTTAATTAAATTAGAAATAAACAATATTCAAAACACAAAACATATCGAATCAATGCCCGTACAACCTGGTGCATTTAGCGATTGGCTTTTGATGAATTTACCATTTGAATTACACACGGTACAAAATATTTTGGCGTTACCGACATGTGTTCAACGTTTACAATTTGTTTTGTCTTGGTTAAAAAAATACAAAAAATTTTTATGTCGTCGATGTTTTGCCGATATTTGTGAAAATGAAGATATATTTTCAATGTCTGTACAAGGTTTGATGAGTGGTAAGGATAGTTGAGATGATATTTTGTATTATTGAAATTATAAAACTATTATCTCTTTAGCTTATGTCAATCCACATGGTCAAATACATGAAACATTGACAGTATACAAAGGAAAAAATTTAAAAGTCATTGGTCCACGAACACTTGAGCATTCGTGGTTTCCAGGATATAGTTGGCAAATTGTTCAATGTCAGCGATGTGTAAGTTTATTTAATAATATTTCTCTCGTAATACTAATAAATTTGTTCTATTGTTTTAGGGTAATCATTTGGGTTGGAAATTTACGGCCAGCAATTCATCATTGAAACCAAAAATGTTCTATGGACTCACACGAAATGGCCTGATATTTGCAAGAACAGATGAAAGTCATCCGCCGATTAATCATGATGATGATGATGGGGAGGATAGTCAACATAATGACCTATGGAATATGTTGGAGTGAATCAATTTATTTTATTTTACTTTTAATGAGTAGAATCAGTGTTCCGAAATAAGGCTTTCTCGTTTTTTGTCTTTTACCTTTCATAAACAGTTTCTTTTTGTTTTCATATCACCGGAACAAAAAAAATAAAGTTGGTTTTGAGTTTTTGAAAAATGCTTTGTCGTATTCAGCACACTTAATAAACCAGAAAATTTTCTATTTTTGGGGAGGATAGTTCCAAAAGTTTAGGAAAATTTTTGAAAAAAAATGGTACAAAAAAGTTTCCATGGGAAAATAATATTATTCTGAAAAGTTTTCCTAAACTTTTGAAAGTATCCCTCGCAAAAAATAGAAAAGGTTTGTCGAATGTGCCGAATACGAAAAAACACTTTTCAGAAGCTCAAAACCAATTTTATTTTTTTTTCTGTTGATATGTAAAAAATATGTATATTTAATTTTTTTTTTCAACACACTACCTATTCTAGTATCAGTATCAACTAAACATTCGATACAATAAATAAGGAATGTTAAAATACAGTAAGACGACTCTTTTTCTAAGGTAGATTACTACAGTTATCTGATATGTCTTGAATCTTGCGCCTAAACTTCTGCGTTCATTGAACATTGAGCACTATTCAAAAACATAGAATGATGACCTGTTGGAACAAAACTGATGATACCTTACTTTCAGTTTATTGACCATGTCCGACGAAGGATGCTTATTCCATACAAGCTTATTCCATATCTCGTCTGTTTGCAGTATGAGAGAGGTCGCCACTTGCAGATTTCAGCGTGTAAGTCACATTCGTACGAGTGTTAGAGTAATACTTTACTTCTTCATAGTATCGTATTTCATTGTTATGCTACATCAATAGAACGATATTTATGCTTCATCTACTGTTCGAATTTCTGTCTCTGTTAGGTATTCAATGGATTGGATAAGTGTACAATCTTATTGGTAGTTATCTTCGGTCATTATGTTTGCTTTTATTTATTTATCTATTTATTTATTTTTATATTTCATATCGTTTCTGAAAATTGAAATGGCGCAATACCGAAACTTCTTGTAGATCATTGACAGTGTGTTTATTTCAACGTTTTTTATTTCTCATCAAAAGCGAAAATGGCTGGATACGGAGATTATCATACAGGAGGGCAATCTGATAAGTAAGTGGGTGTTTAAGCCTGTAATTTGCAAAAGAAAGTTTCCTTATCTTTGTTTTTATTTACAGTTGGTCTGGTGGTTATGGTCAAGGATCGTCGGCAGATTCCTTTGGTGGTTCTGGACATTCTAGTAGTAAGCAGAATAATGAATTGATGACAAGACAATTGACTTTCATGATATTTATTTAGGTCAAGATCGAGGTAGTCGTGGCAGAGGTGGTGGTGGTGGAAATCGTTGGGGAGGGAATGACGGGTGAGAAAAAATATCAAATATTTTCGTTTTCAAGTATGGTCGCGTCTCTCGAATAGATTTTTTCATAAAACAACTGTAGAACGTTGTGTTTTTCGTAACTATTATTTCTTTGCTTCGAAAAAATAAAATCGACTTAAGTAAGTCAGTTACAAAAAATAGTCTTTCATATTTCGAACAAATATAAAAAAAAGAAATATCTCTTCTTATTACGTCTTGACATTTAATTGTCGTTATCACTAAGTTTTTGTGTAATGTGCGTATATTAGTGTTCTAAAACATGGTACTTGCGAAATGCTAGATAAAAGCATTTTTTTATACCACAATGTAGAAACTTTTCAATATAAAAACTAAAGATATAGAAAAAATCTATTCGTTAAACGACAAACTTGATTATGATTATATTTTCTTTTATCTAATAAAACTTGATTATGATGTATTTATTTGATTATGAATAATAATGAATTCGTTATAGTGGACAAAAACGAAATTTCTCTGATCATAATTCTGCTAACCGCGGAGGTTCATATAGCGGTTCTGGTATGTAAGATTTGAAAATGTTTGTATACAATTTTATATATCTCCACACAAGAAATGATAGTATCTTTCTTTTTTCATCTTTTTCTTTATTTTATCAAGCGAATTAGTGGTCACGAATGTTTATTGTTGTTTGTCAGTATCAACGCTAAACTTTGTTATTCATTATTGATCGAAAAAATGTAGCATCTTTTGTTCTATTAGGTGTAAATAAGTAGTTGTTATTGAGAAAATGAAAATTCTGAAAGTGTACTATTAGAACGTGAAAAAGACTATGAAAAAAATTATATCCCTTTCCATATTTAAGTAGATGCTAGCAAATAAGTGAAAATATGACACATGTCTACTCAATTCTGTTGTAATTTAATTTAAAACAAGTTTTCTCTCTAAATCATTGAATGTTAAAATCGTATTTAATACTTGATTTATATAAGTGGTATTGTACCAAGTATCAAAGTATTTTACAATATCATTTTTTTTCCTGTGAATTTACAAACTTTGTTATTTAAAAAAATTAGATTTTTCTATATTCGTCAAGAAATGATAAAATATAAAAAATAGCTCAGATTTAGTTTTCAAATTAAATTTCTAGTGTTAAAATCTTCTTCACAAAGCATGAATTTTTTGCATTTTTTACGACAAAAGTTAATATAAACGTTTTAGATGAATAACCGTAGAAAATAGTATATAGTTTTGTTTTGTTGCAAAAATCGCATCTTTTCGATTCTTTTGATTTATTTTTTTTCTTTCGTGAATGCGAATGTTTCTCATCAAACATTAGAGTGTGTATTATTTGTATTCTCAGGTGGTGGTGGTGGTAGTAGTTATAATCGTCGTGGAAACGATAACAATGAGGAAGAAGACGATGGTGGTAATCGAATGGAAACACAACGCGATACAATATTTATCCAAAATTTACCAAGAAATGTATCACGAGAAGATTTACAGAAAACATTTAGTCAAATTGGAGTTATTAAAGTAAATATAGTGGTAAATCAATGTTCAGATAAGTATGCAACGTTTATTTACTTCAGACAGATAAAAAGACTGGTGGACCAAAAATATGGATTTATAAAGATAAAGTCACAGGAGATGGAAAAGGTGAAGCAACAATTACATATGACGATGAGGAAGCAGCACTGGCAGCAATAAATTGGTATAATGGTATGTTAAAAAGAAAAATATATGATTTTTTTTTTTGAAAGTTTTTGAATATACTTTTTGTTTGTTTTAGATAAAGAAGTATTAGCAAATATTGTAAAAATTACACTTGCAACAAGAAGAGTAGGAGCAGGACAAGCTGTTCGAGGAAGGGGTACATATATTACTTTCTATGTGAATTTATTTAATAATAAAAATATTTTCTTATGATTTTTTTTAGGACGAGGAGGATATCGCGGAGGAGGTGGAGGCGGAGATCGTGGATCATATGGAGGTAAAATAGTTAACATTGGCTTCCATTTTAAAGAGTCTAATTATTGATTATTTTCAGGAGATAGAGAAGATCGAGGTGGAGATTCATATGAATCACGTGGAAGAGGAGGTGGTGGTTATAGAGGGCGAGGAGGTAAGTGTTGGATTTTTACACATAAAGATTCAGTAAAAGTTTTATATAGGTATACTTTAATTAATTAACGGGTGATCCAGAATCGATTTTATTAAATGTTAATACATTTTTTTCCTTAGCTTCTATTCATAAAACAATTTTCTTTATATACTAAACGATGAAGAATTTTCTATTGAAATCTATATATGTGATATTCACATGTTTCATTTTGTCAAAAATAACAATAAAAACAGATAAAAAGAAAAATGGCAACGAAGGGAATAGTCAGTATTTTTTAATGTATGCGATTGCTCAATAATTTTTCTATTAGCTGTTCACAGACACTTTGATGTGGAAAGATATCTCTTTATTTCATTATTATGGAAGAGTACGACGTGTTTGAACGACTTTTGTTGGCGGTGGGATGTTGACAGATGCTAGTTTTAGTAGCTCAATATTTTCTAACATGATCACCACATCGTTACGAAAGGAAATCTTTTTATGGATAGAAAGTAGAAACTAAATGTTTTAACATTCAATAGAATCAATTATCAGACAAAACTCATATTACGCAAATATTTTTGTATTCCCTTTGACAGTTTCAATATTTATTTATTTCACTAAAAAATGAATCTAAGATTTTCTGTAACATTTAAGTTATTATAATTCAATAATTTTACTTTTAAAAGAGTTAGTTACTGATGAATTCTCGAAAACAGCTAATTGTTAATTATTTTTCTTTTCTAGGTGGTGACCGAGGTGGCGATCGTGGAGGATTTCGCGGTGGTCGTGGCGGTGCTTCACGAGGATTTTCGAGGTAAGTCTCAAATCGTTTTTTGGTATAATAATCAATTTTCATCCTTTTTTCGTACCCTTCAGGGATAACAGAACAAATCCATATTAGAGAAAATATTAATTACATCAATATTTTTATTTGTCAAATTTTTATTTGTCAAAACAGAATAATTTTCTCATTGTTGTTGCTGTTTGTTTTCTTTCTTATCTTTGATATAAAAGTGTTCTTTCCTTATTGTTCTCTCCACATTGAAAAAAATAAATCTGTGTATGTGTGTCTTTTTTCTTCAATGAACTACCAAATAGGACAGAAAATATCATTCTTTCAACTCATTAACTTATGAGTTTTTCTTAAATTTGTTTATTTCTCCCATACTCTTTGTATTTCGCTGTAATATTGTATGTATGTATATAATACACCAGTTGATTTTGATTTGTATGTTTTTGAAAGTTGTTAACATTGAATGTATTTGTTTCTTCTTCTCTCTTTCATGTTTTTTTAAAGTGCAAAAAAAAGCAAATTTAGAGATGATATTAAAGAGGCCAGGAATAAAATGTTTTAGAGATTTGTGATAAATCTATAAGCAAGTATCCTATCATGTTCCTAATGAAGGTGTATTAAAAGATAAACTATCGCGATGTGATCTCTTTTAAAGTGATTGACCTTAGTTAATGGAAGAAGGTGAACATTTGTCCGTATCTCAGTATCGCGTTGTTTTAAAATCCTCTATATAATAAATAATTATCTTGAGTGGAGTAGTATCTAGTTTATATTCTTTCCATTTAATTTCATGAAATTTTGATGTGCGAATTTAGACGTTCTCAGAATTTGTTGATTCTTGCCTCTAACATATTTTGTCCTGTCATTTACACAAATTAGTATTGTAAAAAATACAGTACAAAAGTAGGGGCGCCCATATAACTCAAGAATCACGACAGCTACTGACCTCTATTTTTGTGAGCCCATATGTCTCATTGAATATTGATAATCCAGCAAATTTGAGCCTCTTTGATTAGATAGTTTGGCAGATATAAGCGTTTCATTTTTTATCCAAAAAAATGCTGATAACTACTGACCTAAGGGAGATGAAAATTTATCTGTTTTTGCTAAAATGTAGCTTCCTTGCTCTCTTGTATGTATGGTATAAATCTCGTTTGTTGTCTCCTAATGATCACTGAAATACAGTAATTTTACGACCGAAAGTTACTATTGAGGTATGAGGTTCATTCTAAAAAAAATTCATAACTCAGCATAGAAATATTTTTTTCCGTCAAATAATCTACAATGCTTCTAAATTATTTACACAAAGTTTAATGATTAACTATTGTATAGTTCGAGAAATTTATTGAAAATGAATACCCGCTATTCCAACATATGTAGGAGGGTGCGGAATTAAGAGTCGCCGTTCTTCCATATCTTCTACGATTGGTGTACACCATAATTATGCAAAAATATAATTAAGAAAACGTATAGTAATAAAACGCGTAGGTGAATCATTATCAAGGTGTCAATCTCACCCATACACCCACCCTATTTCAGCCAGTTTTCAGTAGAATTACCAAAATGCTGAGTGAAAATGATAACTATACTTGAAATTTTTGATGTTTTGGAGAGCTATTTATTCTTTAAGTGTATACTCTTTTGAAAGAGTAAATCTTTCAATTTCAGCAAAAATCTTAAATTAAGTAATTCTTTTCAAGTTTAAAGCTGCAAATTGTTGTTAAAGAGAAGAAAAAAGAGAAATGCGTGCGTGCTTTTTAGTATTTTCATCAGAGATACGTCTAGCACTTAAAGAAACTTAACCGATCATAAAACCATAATTTTAAGTAAAAACGGGAATATTTTTATATTCTTTTACCAAAAAGATCACGCATCCTGACGAGCTGACAAATTTCGATTAGGCATAAATCAATGACATTACTCTCATTTTGAGTCAAAAACAGCTGAATGAACCAGAGATCGGCATGGACCAGATTTTTTTGGCTCGGTCCGACCAGAAGAAAAAAGTTTTGAGCGAAGGAATCCTTTTTAATTTAAAATATATTAAGATATTGAAGGATCCTTTTCAATGATCCTTCAATTTTATGAATTGAGTATACACATGACTTAGAAATACGTACTTTACAATAAACTTAAACGCAAGATTCTATGTAAAGTGCTACTAATAAACTGCTTCTTCTGTTATGACACCCAAGAAAAAATCTCAGCCCGATTCGACGAAAAAACTTTTCAGTCCAAGCTCGAACTGGTCCGAACGCTCTTGAAAATCTTCTACACCGATCCAGTTCGACCCGTACTGATCTCGGGAATAAATATGTCAAGGCGATTACGGTTAACTGTATCCAGTGCATGCCTATTTCCATATAATTTGTCCAAGGTAACTGCTAAGTAGTTTCTGTGAAGAAAGCAGCTAAAGTACAAATATTTTTTTGGTTGAAAATATGAACTTTACGGTATATTGTTTTAAAACAAAAAAATTGACCTATATGAAAGATCTCATTTACTCTTAAAAAGTATCAGAATTTGCTTCTAATGTTTTACTACCTCAAAGGCATACAACGAAGAAAGAGAAGAAAATGTCATGATAAAATTTCTAGCCCATTTTTACAAACAACAACAACAGACAAAGTAAAAAGAGAATGCATTTTTTCCTCAAAGCCAAAAAGCTGAAAAAAGAACATTTAAAAAAAATCTTTTATATTTAAATCCATTACGCATATACACTTAAAAGCTCACTTTTGTGTATATCCAACTAAACACGGTTCATATTACTATATTATCTCTTAAAAAGAAAAAAATTATTCATTTAGTGTGCATTCGAACGGTATTTTCTTTACTTCTATTTTCTCTTTAACAAGGTATGTACATTGGGAAAAAATTATCGAATATATCTAATTATTCAAACATCACTACGAACAATTTTTCACAATCTTTAACGATTTTATACAAAGAATAATAGTGAAAAGCTTTTGAATATATAGAACGTTAGTCAAGAACTCAATCGAAAAAGAGAAAATTGATCGGCATACCCTACAAGATCACTAATATCTAAACTGAGGCTCATTTTTGATTGATAAATCAACTATGGGTATTGTTCTTCCCATACTAAGCATCTGAAATTGTCGATAAAATAGTTTCCAAAATTCATAGAAAGTCTTCCAGTTTATGCGGAGAGCAATGATGATGCAACCACACACCTCTTTTTTTCTTTCATTTTTCAGTTTGAAAAAGATGAAACATAGTCTAATTTAAGTAGAAGATTAAACTGCTTCTAACGCGCCGCTAATTCAAAGTTTCAGCACTTTTAATTTTTAGCTTTAAGGCCCACGTCTAGATTTAGTTTTAGTTGCTGATCACGAATATGTCCTTATTTTCTCGATCTGATAAAGTTTTCAAGAAGAAAAACGCGAAATACTGAGGTGTCAGAAATCCGCAAAAAGCTTCCTTAAGAAAAAATAGACCTTAGCTCTTTGCAATTCAACTTTTCGCTCTCACCATTATGATTTTTGGATTCCTCATATAAAAATAAGTCTAAAATTGTTGCCTAGAGCTTTATCGCATATTACATGTCCAACGTAAAAAATCATGCTACAATCTAGCTTCGTTGGTAGCGGCCAATTTCGCAAACCTATCTAGTTTTATGTATTAAGAAGTTCATATTCCATCTTCATTCATATTCCATTCGAATCGTCGTTTCATGCGCGAAAATAATTCGCATTGCTTTTTTTGAAATTTCACTTTTTCTAAATCAGAGACCAAAAAGTCGGAATTCTGCCTGTACTTTTCAATTTTCTCCACCAAAATATACTTTTTATGCAATAAAAGTAACATATTCGGAGTCAGCGTCGAAAACTGAGTCGAATGATGTACCTTTTTATCTTATCTGATTTTTGTTTTTTTCGAATTTTCACGTCGAAAAATTACTGAGATTTTCACCAAAAAAATAGATGCAGAAGAATACACCCCAGTCATTTCTCTACAAAATGGTGTATTGAAGTTGATCCTAATATTCAAAACGCTGTCTTAATTGAACACATCGAAATGTCCGAAAAACTTAAGAAATTTAACACAAAAAAGTGTATTTCGTTAGTATGAAGTTGAACGTATGCGTTGTGTCCAGAGTCAGTAGGTTAAAATGTAGCCCTTAAAATTCTCGACCGATTAGCTGTAATGCGGATTTTCTATCGTTATTTCTGTGTTTTCACTAATGGTTTTTGCAAAAGCCCTACGATCTCTTTTTCAGCTTTTTCAATCTACATTTTGGGGCTATTTGTAAAATGAGTATTGCTCAGACAAAACTGAATCAATCAGGCTCATTCTTGCGCCACTTTGAACACATTTGTTTGGTCTACTCGACCCACGTGCGAAACGATTGATGTAACTTTTCTGAATAACGAAGATGCTGAAACTAACGCATTTTGTTCAGTAATGGCTACCAGTTATTAACTAGTCATTTTTATCGCATCAGACCGATGGGAAGGAGATCAGTCTTGGACGAACTAAAAGAGGACATCCAAGAAGAGGACTTCCTAAGAAATGATGTGCTATCTTCTTCCTATTACTTTCAAAACTGAATTCAAACTTCAAAATTTAAAGGTGAAGTCCGCATAAGAACGGAAATCGGCCCACTAACAATAACCGCTCCAATCGGTCCAAACCTCATCAGAATCACATCCAATTATGATATTCGATGATTTCGACCCTTCCGAGCGCTTTCAGTCGAATATACCCGACAGAATCCACTCGAAAAGGAGCGATGATTTAGCACCCACAGTATGACTGTAAAATCAACATTTCTCAGTAACCATCCTATATTAAGCCTAGCGCAATACATCATTCGA